CCGAGCTGCGCTGAGACGACGAGGAGTATTTCCGAGAGTCTTGCGTATTCAGAAACGGCCCTTGAGTATAATTGACTTGCCACAGCCTACAATGCAGCACAAACCAGTATCGAACGCGGTGTCTTATGTCGTTGCCAATGCATGAAGCACAAACGCGTTTCAAATGCGCTGCATTGAAGGCGGTGACAAATCAAGTCTAAGACAACAAAACGGTTCTGAATACGAGCAAAAGATAGTGCACAATTTATTTTTTCTTTACTTTGGCGTGTTACCTTCTTGCGAATACCGCCACGTAAAATCGACAATTTGCGCGAGCTCCTGCGCCCCGACATCTCCAAGCCAACTATTTCATGGTGGCCGTGGTGCCACAGACTCAGAGAAACGCACTCGTTTGTATCGGGCGGCAAGAAGACAGCGCAATGAAAAAGCAAAAGAACAAAAATTGAGCATAGCTGATTGGTTCCAGCAGCTTTGCGACTGCAGTCGCGCGACTGAAAAAATGGTCAGGAAGGGACTAGCCAAAACAGTCGCTTTGTGACTGTTTGCGACCGTTCGCGACTGTTTGCGACCAGTCACAAATGGTCGCGCGACCACTGCTAGTCGCCGGTGTGCACCAGCCTTATGTGCTCGCGGCCGCTTTTCTAGCTCGACATATACCAAATTTCGTGTTACGTGACGTCAATGGATGATAAAATATATGACGGGTGCAAACAAGATCCTGACACGCGTTTCATGTAAAAAAAATGACAGCATACCACGCTTATAGCGGGCTCGTGGTCGTTTCGCTAGCTCCACTTATAGTAAATTCAGTATCACGTGACGTGAATAGATGACGAAGGTAAACGACACATTCAGACATAATAATCATGACACAGAAGTCATGAACGGCATCATTTACCTCCACCTAGTAACGTGGTGCTGATTGACAGTCATTCATAAGTGTCAGACATCTCATTCGTGTTTCGCATACCATCGATTCCCACTGTACGTGGGATCTGCCTACTTTTTTCTTCCGCGCCTTCGCGAGTCGTCCTTTTGTGTGAAAAAATATACGGAGGCAGCTAGGAAAAATGCTTGGAACAGTTCCAGGCCTTATACGCCTGAGTTTAAGCGGAACTTCAATGACTTTGCCAGTGACTGTGTCCGTTTAGCTTGTCGAGGTGATTGAATGATACGTTGGGTTTAACGTCCCAAAACCACGATGTGATTATGAGAGACGCCGTAGTGAAGAACTCCAGAAATTTCGACCACTCGGGGTTCTTTAACGTTCATCCAAATCTGAGCACACGGGCCTACATAATTTTAACCTCCATCGGAAATGCAGTCGCCATAGCCGGAATTTTATACCGCGACCTGCGGGTCAGCAGCCGAGTACACTAGCCACTAGACCACCGCGGCGGCGCTGCTCGTCGAGGTGACGAAGTCACTTGGGTGAGAGTGCTTTTCGCAGAGCTGCTAACAGACTGAACATTATATTTAGGTTAACGGCAGAAATACTGAGCAGTCTCATGATAATGCGACAGCAAATGAAACTTTGAGAATGAATTGAATGTAAAGAAAACGCGGATGTTCTTACCATTGTGAACATTGATGGCGCAAAGTTCTTACGCGGCACGGCACGGGTCCACACTTCTCTTTCAGCGGCGTTGGCGAGGAACTTGTAGGCGCAAACTGCGGGTCCTCCAGCATAATTACAATTGCAATTCAGCGCACAACAACAGCCAGACATAGTCCTTGGGTGGTCAATACGTGCCATGACAGCAATACTGAGTTGCGTGACAGAGACAGCTCGTTTGCTTGCGACTGCCCTCAAACTACCCACTAACCAAAGGACCCAAACAACGTAGTTTTAGCACAATGTTGCCAGAGCACAACACACGTTGTGTTACAAAAAAAACTTTCAAGCTTTAAAAGCTGAAACGCAGCGCCCGTTGTAAACTATGTCATGTTCAACGGTAGTATTGCAGCCATGTAGCAAGAAAAAAACCTGTTTAGCGAAGAAAGAGACTACGGGAACAAGTTTTGTCAACTTGTCTGAAAAAAAAATGCTGCAGAATGCGATTGGCTGCACATTGGTTCACAGCCCTAAGCCGTGACAACCAATGTCGTTCTTTTGTCGCACGCAGTCTCCTTCCTCCATTTTTTGTCGTTTTAGTCAGCTCTCTCGACTTCTCCTAACCACCTGACGCTGATCTCACTGTGGTGACGTCAGCCTGTTCAGGAGAGGGCATGGGCCTTCTGTATATTAGGGGGCGTTCAGCAGACACCCTGAAGAAGCCGCGGCTGACGACCGCGTACAGGCCTCTGGAGGTTATTCAGAAACAGCTCCAGTGGAACAGTGGTGCCCTGAAAGGTGAGCGTTAGGCACCGGCCTCGGCGAACACAAGAGGCGACCGGAATGGTGTAAACAAGGTTGGCCGCGATGTCGTCAGGTTCACGTCGACGCCGCAGGTGGTGCCTACATAGGTGTTCTTCCGGATAAGTATGCCCCTCACGTATATCTCGGTGAATCGGCCCACCTGAAGAAGAGGTGCAGGATCCGCGAAAGGTAAAATGTCGAAAACCACGACGTTGCGTCGAAAACTGATGCTGCGTGGCCGGGAGGCCGAATAGGGAAGCCCCGATGGCATCGCGCATTGCAGCGAGAAAGTTAGCTTTTTTTCCCACTGGGCGAAAAAGAATGGTGCCTCGTGCCTCCATCGTGAGGAGGGGCCATGGGCTGTGATACGGGGTATGATGGTGTATCGGCGCCCAGTTGTGGAAAGAGGCGATAAGAGGTGGCAAATGAGAGCTATAGTGCCAGTTTTCTCCGACGTCTTATCCCAGTTGTTTGCGGATGACGACTATGGTGTTCGGTGCTCCCAAAAGGTACTAGAAGCGGAGGATTCTTCCTTCTCTACGAACCGTATTCACAAACATGCCACGACTCGAAACTTGACCTCAAAGAATCCTTGAGTACTGTTTTCTGTTGCGATTTTTGAAACGCGAAAAATCTTGAGGATCCCTTTGGGTTGAGTTTCAAGTCGAAGAGCGTTTGTGAATATGGGCCTGCGTATTTCACATGAGTTGGTGTAACCGTGACGGAGCACTTTCCTCGCACGCGCCCAAAGGCGAGCTTTGCCGAGATGCGGCCGAAGAATGACCGCTTGGCGGGAAGCGTTGGCGAAGCATCCTGAATTTTTTTCTGCTTCGAATGGACATCCATCTACAGATTTTGGTTGGCCCAAGCCCGGTACCGAAGTACAGGCAAGACGAAGTTCTAGGTAGCCCTTAGAAGAGCTGCGCATTTGACGGCGTGGAGCAGGCATCGAAAAACAACGCAAGTTAGAAAGCGAAAAAAATTGGCCCAGTACCTGCATGTTACACTGCAAACGTCGTCGAAAGACGATAGTCTTGCGTCTGGAGAGAGTGAACAAAACGTTTATTTGATGTTCTGCGCAAGAAAATTGGTGAGTGGCATTCTGGAGGCGCTGCGTTAGAAAGCCTCGAGCTCGCAGTGGAGGCGAACAAGCCCATCAAGTCACGTAACACGTGAAACATGAGCGCCATCTAGCATTTATCTTGAAAAACGAAGCGCGCGCGCAGCGTGCACGCCTGTCTCGGAGGTGATAAGGTGTTAAACGCAAGGCGACGGGTAGGTAGCACCACCGTGTTGTCTTAGCAAAGCGTTGGAAACACTTGCTTTTCGTTCAAGCATTGCATGGTCAGCGCAGCGTGATAAATGCTTTGGTTTTTAGAATTGCTTATGCATGCATTGTCCAGTAAACGATATGCATACAAAATATTGACGTGTTGTTATGGTGCCTCAGATATGCGCTCTAAGTTTTAATTAAAATCACCCAAGTATGAACGCTCAACCTTGAGCAATATTGGTGGGTGCTGCAGATTGGGTCGGCCATTTGGGGTATGGGCTGGTCACTTCGTTGCATTTTAGGGTGCCATTAAGGGTCGACAAACAGACAAAGTACAGACAGAGAGACAGACCAAATTTTTTGCGCCGAAGGTCCCCAAGAAAGACTATCGTTTTAAAAAGGAAACCTTCCGGGTCTTAAGCTCGCCTCGTCCTCCCCTGACGAGTCGGTTGTTGAATGCTTCCTACCCATTACAAAACGGTCACTGTAAATCTTCATTAGCGACCAAATTATTCATTTGAATATTAGGAATTTGTAGGCATACTTGAATAAGTAGCTTCAGAAGCTTGCAATGAATTCAAGAAAGTGCGCTCTCCAAGATTTATTTGGGATTGTCCTGCACTGGCGTGGCGTTTCTCTCAATTTTCTCGTTTTGCGAGAAAAAGCATAGCGAGACAAACTATAGCGGTAGAAAGTAGGCGCATAGTGACTAAAATGACCTAACTACACAGTCCATGCAAAGCACACGAGGAACTTGTGATCAATTGAAGAGAAAATTTTGAACAAAAACGGTACTTTGAACCACCCACATAGTTTGTGTGAGCAACATCATCCATGGATAAACTGAGCTATGTATTGGCGAGTTTACAGACATAGACTGTGTAGTTGTACATGGAAAAATAGCTCAATGAGCACCAGGCAAAGCTAACAAGTTTTCTCGTCAGCTTTCGTCTTTTACTGCCCTTGCAACAACAGATCATTGCTAGATTTTGCCAGCCTGGCTTATATAGGAACGTGCCACTGGTGACCTTTCTTTCGCTGCTATTTTTTAAAAGAAATATATCGATGAAGTAGTTGGCAATCGGTGTTTCACGTTTTCAGTACAACTTGCGTACTTTTAAAACAAACCAAATGGTGTGCAATATTCGTACACAAGTTAAATGTTGTTTGATACCTCATATTTTGCAATAAAGGTTGGTTAAGGCCCATAAGAGCTTCAAGACATTTTCTCGTTTGGTTGGTAACTGTGGTAAAGGTTTACGGGCATTCAGATATCCAGTTACTACTTCTTTTGATTACCTACACTCATTAGGTATTGAATTGCTACATGGAATTGCACTATAAGGTGCTGATGTGACTCCCTTTCAGGAAAATACCCCTTCAGATACAAGCTACTATGTGCTATATGACAATGAATTTGAGTTTTTCCTGTGAGTATGACAAGCAATATTACATGTTCGAACAACGTTTGCAAGAAAGGTTAGTGTTGAATTGTATACAAGAAAACCGTCGTAGTGTGATCACGCAGCATGACATAAGGCAATGCAAGGACTAAACTCATGTCAGGCAAGATACGTTCATTCTAGCCTGCACTTTAGTTTATGAATCGAAACTTCACTTGAACAAACTTCAAAGCACCTCCAAAAAAAGCTATGCCGGCAACATTCACTAAACTGAACCACTAATGTTTTATTGCGTTATCGCAACCCTCAGAAAACGTCTGCTTTCAGATACATTGCATTCTGTGTGTGTTTGTTAAGCTACTTATTTGCATAATAACTTTACGCTTATTCCTGATGATTATTACACAAATATTTTGCCACACCTGTTTGCTTAAGACTTCAGTGGCCAGAAGTTAAGTTGCGCAAGCTCCCATACGCCCTCTGTGGTTCAACGTCCTGCCGGACAGAAAATGACCGGTGTTGCCATGCGCAAGACCACTTCTACACGAAATACTCACTACGGACAGATGCTTTCCGTTTGGCGCTCATGAAAATTATCACCTGCTTGTATCATGTAGCTGTCATTGCCTGCCTGATAAGCTTCGGTCGCGCGCCATTGGCGCTGCTGATGTCGAAGGCTGTGATAAAGATATTTAACAAAAACATGATTGTACTTTTGAAGTGATCATCATGACACCGGAGGCATCGAAATGTCTTACGGAATATTTTTATTAACCTCAAATAAGCTATGCAGCAAGTTTTCTTCAATCGAAGTAAGGTAGGATTGTGTGCAATGGCGTTTCCATGAGGGATTTTTTAAAATTTTTAGTTGAGTTACGCTTGTTTATATTTCATTTCGGAACATAGAGTAAAATTTACTTCCATTTCTCGACGGATACAAGTAATTCCTCCAAATTTAAACCTTCGGTAGTCCATCAATACCTACCGAACTATATATATATATATATATATATCATAAGCCTGACTACGTCCACTGCAAGACAGAGGCCTCTCCCAAGTTCCTGTGCTTGCTGCTGACCAATTTATACCCGCAAACTCCTTATTCACATCTGCCCACCTAACCTTCTGCCTCGCCCTAACTCGCTTGCCTTCTCTGGGAATCAAGTCAGTTACCCTTAATTACCAGTGGTTATCCTGTCTACGCGCTACATGCCCGGCCCATGTCCATTTCCTCTTCTTAATTTCAGATATGATAACATTAACCCCCATTTGTTCCCTCATTCACTCTGCTTTTTTCCTGTCTCTTAAGGTTACACCTACAATTTTTCCTTCCATTGCTCGGTGCGTCGTCCTCAATTTAAGCTGAACCCTCTTTGTAAGTCTCCAGGTTTCTGCTCCGTAGCTAAGTACTGGCAAGATACAGCTGTAATATACCTTCTTCTTCAAGTATAGTGGATATCTACCTGTCTAAACTTGAGAGTGCTTGCCAATTGTGCTCCACTTCATTCTTATTCTTCAAGTTACTTCAATCTCGTGGTTTTGCTCCACGGTTATTACCGGCCATAAGTAGACATAGTCTTTTACAACTTGAAGTGCACTATTACCTATCTCGAAGCGCTTCTCTTTTCAGAGGTTGTTGTACATTACTTTCGTTTTCTGCACAAAAATTTTAAGATCCACCTTTCTGCTCTAATTGTCTAACTCCGTAATCATGAGTTGTTATTCGTCCCCTGAGTTACTCAGCAATGCAATGTCATCGGCGAAGCGCAGTTTACTAAGGTACTCTCCATTAACACTTATCTCTAACTGTTCCCATTCTAGGCTTCTGAAAACCTCCTGTAAACACGCGGTAAATAGCATTGGAGTGATATTGTACCCCTGCGTTACGCCCTTCTTGATTGGTATTCTGTTGCTTTCTTTCTGAAGCACTATGGTATCAGTTGATCCTCTGTAGATTTCTTCCAGAATATTTATATGTATTTCATCGATGCCCTGATCCCGCAGTGTCTGCAAGGCGGCTGATACTTCTACTCAATCAAACGCCTTCTCGTAATCTATGAAGGCTATGTATAGTGGTTGGTTATATTCTGAGCATTTCTCTATTACCTGATTGATAGTATGAATGTGGTTGATTGTTAAGTAGCCTGTTTGAAATCCTGCTTGTTCCTTTGGTTGATTGAATTCTAATGTTTTCTTTACTTTGTTAGCAATCAACTTTCTAAATAGCTTGTATACTACAGAGAGCACAGAGAGCAAGCTGATTGGCCTGTAATTCTTCAAATCCTTGTCATCTCCTTTCTTACGTATTAAGATGATGTTAGCGTTCTTCCAAGACTCTGGTACTCTTCCCATCAGTTGACATATCGTAAACAGGGTTGCTAGTTTTTCCAACACAATCTGTCCTCCATCTTTCAGCATATCTGATGTTTTCTGATTCTCACCAGCAGGTTCGCCTCTTTGCATGCTCTCCAAAGCTTTTCTGACTTCCTCTATTATTACTGGTGCGGTGTCATCTGGGTTACTGCTAGTTCTCATAGTAATAAAGTCAAGGTTTTCCCGGCTACTGTTCAGATCTCTGTAAAACTCTTCCGCTATTTTACCTATTCTATCCATATTGGTAGTTATTTTGCCACCTTTGTCTCTTAGCGCATACATCAACTTTTTGCCTATCCCAAGTTTCCTCTTCACTGCTTTGACGCTCTCTCCGTTTTTCAGAGCGTGTTCAATTCTCTCCATGTTATACATTCTTACATCGCATACCTTACACCTATTAATCAACTTCGAAAGCTCTGTCAGTTCTATTTTGTCTGTTGCACTTGAGAATTTCATGATTTGACGCTTCTTAATGAGATTCTTCGTTTCCTAGGAAAGCTTGCCAGTGTCCTGTCTAACTATCTTGCCTCCAACTTCCACTGCAAACTCCGTAATGATACTCATCGAATTATCATTCATTGTATCTACGCTAAGGTTGGTTTCCTCACTAAGAGCCGAATTCCTGTTCTGAAGCGAGACTCTGGATTTCTGTACTTTCCCTCTCAGGGCTAGCTCATTGATTCGCTTCTTGCGTATCAGTTTCTGTCGTTCCTTCTTCGAGTCTAAGTGAATTCGAGACCGTATCATTCTACGGTCACCGCATCGTATCTTGCCAACCACTTCCACACCCTGCAGGATGCCTGGGTGTGCACTCAGTATAAAGTCTATTTCGTTCTTATTATCGGCATTAGGGCTCCTCCATGTCCACTTGTGGTTTCCTCGTTTTCGGTAGAAGGTATTCAAAGTACGTAAATTATTGCGTTCTGCGAATTCTAGTAGTAACTCTCCTCTGGAGTTTCTAGTACCGATGCCATAATTTTCTACTGCCTGGTCTCCAGCCTGCTTCTTCCCTACCTTTGCATTAAAGTCTCCCAACAATATAGTACACCTGTCTCATTGCCAATTCCACGTCTTCATAGAATCTTTCAACTGAAGTGTCATCATGGCTGGATGTGGGTGCGTAAGCCTGTACCACCTTCATCTTGTATCTTTTATTCAGTTTAATTACAATACCTACCACGCTTTCATTAATGCTATAGTATTCCTTTACATTGCCAGCTATGTTTCTGTGAATTTGGAATGCCACTCCCAGTTCTCTTCTGTCAGCCATGCCCCTATAGCAAAGGACGTGCCCCTTCTGTAGCACTGTATAAGCCTCATCTGTCCTAACCTTACTGAGCCCTATTATATCCCATGTAACACCCTCTAGCTCCTCGAATAGTACAGCAAGACTTCCTTCGCTAGAACTAGATAAGGTTGTATTGTTAAACGTTTCCAAGTTATGGTTCCAACAGCGGCCTGTCCGGATCCAGAGATTCTTAGCACTCTCTGCTGTGTTGCAGATCTGACCGCCACCATGGTCAGTTGCTTCGCAGCTGCTGGGGACTGAGGGCCATGAGTTATTTGACGTATGCATGTGGGAGGTGGTGGCCAGATACTGCACCAGGGTGGCCAATCCTTCCCTGGTTAGGGAGTGCGTTCCCGGCGGTGTTTACCGGTAAGGCCGCAACCCCATGCCTCCTAATGCAGTTCCATCACCACACGGATTTTTTTTATCCAGTTAGGAAGAGCGGCACCGGGATTTGAACCACGGACATTTGCATGCGAGGCGGATGCTCTAACCACTACGCCATCGCTGCGTATATATATATATATATATATATATATATATATATATAAATAAATACATATATATATATATATATATATATATATATATATATATAGAGAGAGAGAGAGAGAGAGAGAGAAAGAGAGAAATATTTACAAAGCAGTCATGCGTTGTTGGTTGCACTGGGACCGACGGGACCTGTGGCTCAATAAACAAGATTCGGTGCCGATAGCGTACACCGTCTTACCTCTGCAATGAACGGGAGCTCTCTGAATAGCAACATTCACGAGAGCAGACCTCCACCACCAGCTCTAACGCTTTTAAATCGAAGTTTTATGTGACGCTTAGACGCCATTTATCCTGCAATTATACTAGGGTTCAATGTGTTGACGGAGCACATTGCTTTTAGAGCCAAGATGGCACTGCAGTTCTGCTGTAGTTGTCGGGGAATTTAGCGGTGCAGGAACATGCGAGCCATGCAACTGTGCTGTTGCGGTACTTTCTTCACCTGATATTAGCACGTGCTGCGGCCACGCTACCTTTAGAACTACCATCATTTGAGTGGTGCTTCACTGGTGACTATCCTCAAAGCTGTATCGCATGCGCCCCTTTCAAGTAAGAATTTTCAGTGGAGGCCCAGGACTGCATGTGCTTTCTGAACCAAAAGCTGGCTTCTTCCTCCTCCCATGATTTTCGACCTAACGTTTCAGAGCTAGAGCTCCTCTCTAACGGCAAACATCAAGCTTGTTTATTTTTTGCGCTCTTTACCCACTTCTGAAGCACTTCTCTTGAAGAGTCTCAGTACAAAATTTGGCAACGGGACTACAAAAGGAGTGCGAAGGCGTCTTCATGTTTTTTCCTGTCTTCGTGTTCCAAGCTTCGCATCACATATAAAATGTTAAGCAAAGTTACGCAACAACTCATCAAACAAAAAGTTCTTCCATTGTCATGCAACGATGAAACCCTTTTCGACAGTTGATTCCAATGCGTGAAATCAGAATGACTCCCATGACAGGTCATAATGCAATACAGGCGACTCACGGTCTACACGTAAACCTCGAAAAGAAAAATAATTTTTATAAGACCATTTAAAGGACCCGTGCAACCAAAACGCATAGCGTTTAATAATTGGGGTAATATAGTTGTACCACACAAGCTCTAAGAGGTGAACTCTTATGAATACACAAGCCATATCATAACGTTAATGGTCTCAGCAGCAAGGCGCCAGTTACCACTAGTAGCACTTGGTTCCAACTAAAATGAAGTTTGTGACGGAAACGAAGTGCATGCGTTATGTCATACAGTGATCCACTCTTTTCCCAGCTTTTAAACCATGACTGTGCCCTGTAAGGTACGACGATATGCTTAGGATTACTCGAATGGCAAAGTGGCGTCAATACGCACAATAAAACTTGTCTCAACGAGTGGAATTGAAGGCAACGATTAGGCTATGATTGGGCTGCTAAGTGACGCCAGTGAGCCGAAGACTCCGGTTCCACACAAAAAGACAATAACATAGAAGGGAAAAGAGATGGTGGCTGCGGACACAACTCGAAGCGATGAATTCATATATTGATACGTGGAGTTTAACGTCCCAAGATCACAATATGACTATGAGAGACGCTGTAGTGGAGGGCTCCTGAACTTTCGGCCACCTGGGGTTCTTTACCTTGCACCCAAATCGGAACACACGGGCCTACAGCACTTTCGCTTCCATCGAAAATCCAGCCACCGCAGCAGAAGTTTGATCCTACGACTTGCGGGTCAGCAACCGAGTACTGTAGCCACTAGGCCACCGCGGCGGGGCAATGGACACGAAATTGGCACTTTCGATTTTGGTTTCTTGAGTGATGGCTGGTGAAACTTTTTTGCTTGTGTAGTTTGAATGCAACTGCGCAGAAGGATGCTTGTTGTGCAAAATGACGGAAAAGAATTGGGCATTTAACGCAACTAAAAGCCAGAAAACGGCATTTTAAGAAAAAAATTCACTTTTTTATTTGGCCTCATATATCCTAAAGCCACGCTAATTTGTGGGCTAAGCAACCGACATGCTTTGCCATCTTTTACTGAAAAGGACACAATGCATCTTAGACAGCTTTTTACTGACTGCTTCCACATGACTTGGATTTCGACAATATGGGAGATCTGCTGCTACGCTATGCTGAACGTAAGTTTTACTGAAAAAAACTAAAATGTAGCTGCTGAAAAAATATGCATTTTTGTTGTTGCCCCTATAAGGCAATATACTTCTTGAGTTTTATATTGGACTAGTATTGATTGCGGAGCATGAGCAACTGCCCGACCAATACTTGACCACTCAACGCGAGTATAGGCCACGATTGTGTTTTAAGTGCTGCACTTTAATGCCGTGTTTTTCCTTCGCCCACACGTGACATCAATCGATAATTTGTTAATCAGTCTGTGTGAATCTTTGATGACATCGCGCAGGCCCGCTGAGAAAGATTGGTGCAAAGCAACAGTATCTGATGTTTCGTCAGACATGGAATTACATGCTGCTGACCGAATTGATAGACATAAAGGGTAAGTGCCACTATATACACTTTGGCAACGCAAAAACAAGACATTCTAAAATGTGTATAGTGCAAGATGAAAATTGTGTTGTGTTTCTGCCCAAAATGCTCTCGTAGCTAAAATTTGAAAATCACTTACAAAGCACTGCTTTCAGATGACCTAGCAAATCGGCTCTCCTTTAGTTAAAGTGCAGAAAAAATTTGTACTCCTGGCTGTGGGTGTTATGTTTTCTGTTTATTCGTCCCCTACAATGATATCAGCTGCATCATTCGCTTGAGTGTAATAGTTGTTGTAGCACTCTGCTGCTGTCCCGAATGTCGTAGAATGTAGCCGTGGTAGTCACATTTAGCATTACAGACATAAAATTTATTCTGACTAATTTTGCTACCAAGGTAAAAGAGAGGGCAATGGCAAAGTTCTAACGCAAAGTTATGGATGAAATATATGTAAGAAAATATATCCCATTGAGCTAGAAATGAGGTCAGTGGCCTAAAAGGGTGGCGTGGTAACTCGAACAGTCTGTGTAAAATTGCCTTTAAACGCAATTAGTCTGTCGGTACTTCCAAACACAGTGGTTCTCTAACGTTTGTGAAGGGGTAAATGCAGTGGAGCGTGCGTCCTTTGCGAGGAGATGCAGTTCTCAATCAAAATATTGTACGAGATTCAGTGGGAAAAAATTGCCCCGCATCTGCTTGCACAGTGCAAATGTCGTCGAAAGACGATAGTCTTGCGTCTCGAGAGAGTGAACGAAACGCTTACATGGTGTTCTGCGCAAGAAAGTTGGTGAGA